GGGGCGGCCGGCCGCGGGGCGGGGCAGCCCGTAACGGCTGCTCCCCGCGTGCCGGGAGGCGGCCGCGGCCCGAACAGGGACTCCTCGCTGAACAGCGTGTGCAGTACAGCCCGGGCTGAACGGAGTACCGGCTGCCCAGGGAGCCCTTAAGAGGGAGGAGGGTTTGGGGAAGGAAGGGAGATGGGCGGACCGCGGAAAGCTGCTGACGACGTGCTGCCGTCCCCGAGGCGACCCGTCGGCTTGCCTCGCCTCCTCCGCGTAGCGTGTTTTGAATTGTGGCGGCTACGTGCGGACTGCATGAAAGATAAGAGCAGGAGAGATGCCATCTTTGAGCAAGGCTGCTAGTGAAATAAATAATGTTCGTGTACGAAAAGCTTTACATCACAGTAACCCACTTCAATCTAGAACTCTTAAAAGGGATTTTGTATTTAAGTTCCTCTTGTTATTCTGACCGGATAGATCCAGTCCTTGTTTCCTTTTTTGGCATTTCTAATTTACATTTTTTAACTTAAAGCTGTAAATACCGTAGTCTGTTGCAACATTTTGCCCGTTTTGTCAACAGAAGTGTAAAATTCTACCCTGATTCTAGACCTTGCACTTCTGGTTTCTGTTTCGCTCCCATTTCCATTAATATGATGTACACAAAAATACTTCCCTGCTTACTTGGCGCTGCTAAATACAAAAGTGCTATCAAATGTAATATAAAGGCATGTCTGCTTAGTAATTCTCTGTAAATCAGTGATGCTAACTAATAGCCTGCATGAAGTTAAGCAGTTACAGAAGTATTAGAGAATCTTCATTTAGCGTTGGTTTAAAAGTTCGCAATGTGGTTTAGCAGGTTTGCTGCTGTGTGTGTTTACAGGGAAGGGCCTGAAGGTTATCAATGGTATTTAATATAGTTTAACGTAAACGATTAATATCTTAGCTAAAACTTAGAAATGGAAAACTAGAAATTAATGACTTAGGAATAGCTTGGACTATAAAAACAGGAAAGGAGTTCAGAATTTGTGTATCAGGTTTTTCTCTGACTGTTATTAATAGAAGCAGGATTGGGATGCCCTGCTCAATATGGGAATGTATGTTTGTTTAAACTTCAACTCTTATTTAGCTTTCTTTGCTGTGGTATAAAAATACTTAACTATGAAACAGAACAGGAAATTAAGATAAATACAAAATCTTATTGTCTCTTAAAGCCACGTTTGCACACTGTAATGGCTGCCTTCAGCAGTATGGTTTCTGTAAATTCTGGAAAGTGAGGCACTTCACTAACAGCTTTATGATTTTGAACGTGATAAGACTCTCATCCCCACTGCGTTGAAGCTGTTGTTAAACAATCCACCTTTTGGCAGGTGTGAGGTAGGAGCATAAATACTGGTCTGTAACCTCCCAGATAAACAATCTGCTTGCTGGGCTAGATGATAGTCTGAATTGCGTTCAATTAATTAAATATTCATTAGAATAAATATTGCAGTCCTGAGCTTCCTTTACTCAGATGAGTAAATGAACAGTGTGATTATAGTCTCTTACGCTGTCTCTGCCCTACTAAATATGTTTAATTTTCAACATCTGTTTAGTCACTGAGTCCATGAAAGTCCTGCTGATGAAAAACAGTTTCTTGCGGAAGTGTTTTGCTGGATGAGACTTTTAAAGACAAAACAGGGTGTAGTCCAAATCAGGCTTTGTGTGGGTTGCAGTTTTTGCGATGGAGAGGGCAGGTGCTTCATAAAGATTAATTAGGCAGTTATTCAAGATGAAAATGGTAACAAATAGGGAGGTCAGCTGGGAGTAGACAGAAGTGACATAGCTTGTGCTGAATGCGAGTTGTCAGAAAGAAGTGCTGAGAAGAATGGCATAAGGAGCATTCGGGAGAGCGGGCATCAATTACTTCATATAAAGCTTTCCAAAGAATTGGCTAGCGCTCTCTTTGATTCTGTTGCCCTTTCAGCAGATCATTTATATCTGCGTAAACTGAATAACATAACAGTATCTAACTCGCATAGACGTTTTGACTTAATACCAGAATTTTTTATTAATGGTAGCCTGTGGTTTGAGCTTTCTACTGTTGATAAACCAAAGAGCTTGCTTTGAGCGCTATTTAATTTTCTTTTGCAGAGCTTTAGTAGCGTAATAATAACGAACATCTACGTTATTGTTGGTGCCCTGTTGTGTTATTTAGTCACGTGGTTGGTATCTTCCATTATGTTTATGTTTATTAATAATAGAATAGAGGGAAGGAAAACTTGAAAATGGCATATACATACGGTATGCAGGATTGTATTTTTCTGGTCACAGTGTGTTCAGCATTGTTTTCTTTGTCTAACCAAATGATGCTACATTACAGAAATGCTACTCCCAGCTCTGGAAGGCTTCACCTGGAATGATTCCAGTAGCTTCATTAAATAGCAAACTCAACTCAGATTTTACACTCCTCTACTTGAACTGACTGGAAAAAAATACCGAGAGAGAGATGACCCCCAAAGCTTTGTTTCATTGCTTGGTTAGAATAAATTCTCTTCCAATATGACATATAGATATTAACATTCTAATCATGGTCATGACAAGATAGATAATACATGAAATGACACACACAAGATGTCTGTCATCAGTGTAGAATGCAAAATCCTGAAAGTCGTTATATGAGTTGACTATTCATGTGAGAATTTTTGTGAGTAAGGTTTTTTTTTTCATGTCTTGATTCTGTGAAGTGCTGAGTGCTCTCAACTACCGTTCTGAATCTGATGTAACAATAACCAAATCATTAACCAATTGGTAAAATTTGCTTGTATTATATTGACACAGAAAGCCCCCAGATATGGCCTGCCTATTTCAGCTCCCAAATGTAATTCATAAATTCTGACTAGATGACCGGATTGCTTGTAATTAACCAGACGATGTTTTGTGCATATAAGCTTTTGACTTACATAAATGAAATTCTCACCTCAGTTACCAGTTTGTCTGAAGCTAAGGGGAAATTACTGCATAAAATTTTTTGTATTGATTTGCTTTTCCTAAAATGCCCAGGCAGTTACTGAATAAATCTATCACATAGTTATTTTAAAATTTTACCCTTAGGGAGAGCTGATTGTTTCTTAAAAACAAGCACAAATCATTGTGAAAGCATCGGCACAGGACCTTTTAAAGCTATCCCTATAGATGGTAGTGGCTTGGGACCCCAAACCACTACTCCTGGTTGCATTGCCGTTAATCCCAAACCCAGTCGCATGCAACTGAAATCCACAGCAGTAGTGGACAGCCACCCCCTCTTCCTTCTCCTAGTTAGAAAATGTTCCGTCCCCAAAGCATTGTAGGAAAATATTAAGGAGTAAAAGAGGAAAGCCTGAGAGATGATTCTCGCTTGGGAATGATGGAAGAATTTGTAGTTAAGCTGGGGTTGTATCCCCTTCCAGTGTGCCTCTTTTAGCATGCTCATACTGCCAAGGGAATAGCTATTGCGTGCGGAGGCCTTGGAAAGGCACGTTCACTAGCTGTGCAAAACAAAGAACTGCGCTTGGGTAGTTCAGGTAGGCTTAGAGTTACAGAATTTCTGGCCTCTGGATTATCTCCCAGGCCCGTGCAAGTTTGGCCTGTTTGGCTGGTATGGGAAGGATGGCAGGCAAATCTGTGTTTCACTGAAGCAGTGGAAGTATATCTGCGTCAAAGTCGCTTGAAAAAAGAGTTTGTGTATCTTAAAAATAAGCATAATTCTCTGTGAACAAAACATTCTTAGGCTCTCTGTATTACACTGCGTATGATTTAGGCCATTTTGAATATTATAAAAAGTGCATTTCAACTTAAATTTTGTGGTTTTCTGAGTTCTGACTGTATTCCTCTGAGAATACATAAGTACCTCGCTAAAATAATTTTTCAAGTTATCCTCCCTAACCTAGATAGCCTGAGTTACATATTCCAAGCCTCTGTGGCAGTGAGATTTAGTTCAGGCGGGTTTGTACAACTTTTCAGTAAATTACAAATGTGTCTTTGAATCTTGTATATATTGCATACGACAGTATTCACCTCTGAATAAAAATCTCTCTCTTTCATGTCACTTGCATTATCGTAGCACTCGAGTGCTCCAGTCCTGGCCAAAGACTCGGTTGTGCTAGCCACAAGACAGAAATTCTGAACTCTCTTGCGTAGATCTAAGGGAGTATTGAGTCAGAGAGATGCCTGCTGTGTTACTTGTGTGAAGAAAATATCAATGTGCATTAATTTTTAAATAGTCTCGTTTTTCGTTCGAATTGTTGGGCCATATGTTATAGACCTAAATGTTTCCTCTTTACAGGGCTATGTCCTGATACAGAGAGTTCTGTTGACTTCAGTAGGATTACTCTCTTGACTGAGCCTTGAAGGATCTAACTCAAGTAAATGGAGTGTGGGAGGAGGAATAATGAGCTAAGTTTTCCACAGCAGTTAAAATTTTGAGATTTCTTAATTATTATGATAGATGCTAAAAAGGTTTTTTTTCCTACTTTGATTTCTTTTTCCTGGTGCTGTTATGTTTCACTCTTGGGAGATTTGGAAAACTGCTTCAGGCTTCCTAAACTTATGCAACACTTCCAAACTGGGAATTTGACCTACCTTGAAGTTTTGCTCTTACCCCGTTAAGAATATTTCCAAGACTTAACATCAGCAATATAAATTTTCCAAGCGCTGCCAACGGGTTAGGGGAAGAAATGGTTTGTTATGAACGTTGAAAGGTGAGGAGGAATAAATAGTATGCTGTTGTGCAGTTAACTAACAAGTTGCCCAATCCTTAGATTAGATGCAATGAAAATTTTGCTTGCTTAGGTAAAGAACCGGACATGGAGATTTCAAGTAACATGTATAAATTGTTGTTTGTCCACAATATGGAAGGTGCCTTTTGTTTGTAGGCAATGCTATATATATGTGTGTGTGTGTGTGTATACACACATAGGTGTATATACACACACGCACACAAGTATATAAACATACAAGTATATATACCTACATACTTGTGTAAATATCTGAAGGGAAGGTGTCAAAAGGATGAGGCGAGACTCTTCTCAGTGGTGCCCAGTGACAGGACAAGAGGCAACGAGCACAAACTGAAACATAGGCAGTTTCATCTGAAGATGAGGAAAAACTTCCTTACTGTGAGGGTGACAACACTGGCACAGGTTGCCCAGAGAAGTTGTGGAGTCTCCTTCCTTCAAAAGCTGTCTGAGCACGGTCCTGGGCAGCCTGCTGTAGGTGACCCTGCTTGAGCAGGGGGGTTGGACTAGATCGCCAAAGGTCCCTTCCAACCTCAACCGTTCTGTGATTCTGTGAATGCTAGGAAAAAAAAATGAAAGAAACATTTGTTTTTGAAAATGAACAAAAATGATGTCATTTGTGGATTTCTGTAATTTAAAAAATGTGCATTTTGTGTCATTCAAGAGCTACTACCCTGAATAGTAGTCTAATTTGGCTTGTTTGGTAGTTCCTGTGTACCATTCATTTCATTCTACAGATTTTCTTCTCTTTTTTCATCAGAAAAACAAAGCACTGGTGAAACAGCGTACAGCAGTTTATACTAGCTGACCTTAGTATGTAACATAAAAAACTATAAGGAAGAGACAGTGTTCTGTGGTATAGAGGCTTGCCATCACTGAAGATCTAGTCCAGTGTGTTCACTCTGATTTGTATTACAGTCTTCTGGCACTTACGGAAAATAAGGACTAATTCCCGCAGCTCTACAGATAGGTGACTGAGAAAAAACACTCTTAAAACTGAGAATCCAGACTCTCTGCTTCCAGATTCCGTGTGGTTTATTTCCTTTTGGATGGAAAGGCCATGGCTTGAAAACATTTCTAGCTGATAAAGGCCAGTGGTCCTCAATATGTTTACAGCTGCTTCAGATAAATTTGAGAATCTATGTAAGCCTGAGCTGTGAGCATAAAAGGTTTTGGAGCTCAGACTGCAGTAATCACTGAATCTTTACTTATTTTCTTCCTTACAGGGCACTGTTCGGAGGATTATTATAGAGAATCCTGAACAGGTATGGAAACTGTTTAGTTCTGGCCATAATTCTGATTCTGAGATCAAATAACTAGGAATTGAAAATACTACAGAATTGCTACACAATTAGGCTTCCCACTCTCAGTGGTTAGGTCTATATTAATATGCTTCAATAACATTAGTAGCAGAGATGAATTTCTAGCTGTTTCTACCCTGTTTGTTTCAACTGTTCTCTAAATGGGAGCACAGTCGCTTTGTTTCCAAGTGGAGCAGACTGATACAAAAAAATCTGTAGAGTGACAGGAATTTTTTAAAATTTCGTTAAAAGCTATTTGGAAAATCTTTGGCTTTTTAGCTGATTCTTTTGTGATAGACTCCTCAGTGGAATTGGAGGTTTATACACTGGGCATCTGGATATCTTGGGTAAAGGTCGTCAAGTAGAATGCTTAAAATTATCCTGCAGAAACAGGCTGTAAGGAGTCTACCAGGCAGTCTTTCTACCTGGCCTCAGGGAACAGCGCTGCTTAAAAATGCAGCTGTACCGGAAGCCTACTGGAGTTCTCACCTTTGCGTTTATGAGACACTAAGCAGTTTCAGAAGCCACCTGACAGTGCCTTTGGCAAAACAGTGCTTTAACCACTGATGTCTTACAGCCCAGCATGTCTGCCTGAATTGGTCACTGGTCTCTTAGTGCTACATGGGTGAATGACGAAAATGAGCAAGTTTTGTAGCTTGATGAACTCCAGTTACCGTGGCGTACCATCCACCTTATGTTATGTAGCCTGCTCATTTTCTTCGGAGTCTGGCAGGATTCTGTGAGGAAAAAACAGTGTAATTGATTATTTTTTCACCATGGTGTAAAGGTGAGAGGCAGTATGTATGTGCGTGTTGTATGGATGTTGCAGAAAAATCTGAGTTCGAGACTATAAAACACACACCCACTCAAATGTGCATATAGGAACAGTGTATCTCAAAGAACTTAGGATTATAAAAATAGAGGATATTTACGGAATTTTAAGTGCATGTGTCTTCAAACTACAGGAAAGCGCCAGTCATTTTTGTCAAAATGCTACTAACCCTGAACTGGCTGTTTGACAAAATATGTGAATGTTTTTTATTAATATGTTTTACAGGAGCCATTATCCCCGTTTTTTAGAGGAGGGAATTTTTATCCTGGAAATAACGTCATCTATGAAAAAACAATAAGAAAATATGAGCTATTAAACCCCCACCAAGTAAGTTGTTTCTGTTTATTATCTATTGCAAAAGAAAATGGAGACAGTAGCAGAAACGTTCCTGTTTCTTTTGGGAACCAGTGCCAACTTGAGAATTGCGTTGTCCAGGTATAAGAAACGTTCTTGAAGTAAATGAAACAATTTCTCTGTGTGATGACAGCAGAATTTGGAACATGTGCTACGTTTTTATTAAGGCTTTCTTATTTCAAACTAATAAAGAAAGCTGCTGTTGAATCTCTGACACTCTCAGCTTGAACATGGTTATGGAACTCTTCATCTGAATACTGACTGCGCATTAACTTCTTGCAGTAGCTCCACAGCAGAATAACCTATATCGAGTTTTATAAAATTGGATTGTAAAGACTAATTTTAACTTTGACTTTCAGTCTTTCTTGAAAAATTATTTTTTGGTGCAGCTATCTGAAATTTCACCTCAGATTTGGTGTTTTGTCAACAGCAAAATTGTCATTTCCCCCCCCTTTTCTATTGTTCTGAAATACTGTTATTTTCAAGAGAAATGTTTCTGAAATGGAGGATCTTTCAGACTGATATATCTAATCTCCTTTTAAATTATTTTCTTTGTAGAACTATCTGTGGGAAGAAGGAAGAGAGTACTAATCATGTTTACCTCACGTTTTCTCCCTTTCCGCTTTCAAGAATGGGTGTCACATCTACTTTATCAATTGCTTTCATTCAGTGGGAAAACTAAAATCCAGAATTGCACAAAAACTTCAGTTTAAAAATAAAACCAAAGAAAGTGTGGAATCCAGCCCTATTTCTGATTTTTTTTTTTTTTTTTTTTTTGGTCATCTAGGGTGCATTTAGATAAGCATTTTAAGTCAAATCATGAATGCAGTTTTGCAGGAAATTTCCTAGTCACCGACTACATACTGCTCTTTGGTTTACTTTGCACAGTGGTCATGGATCACACAAACTAGTTTCCTTTCAGATGCAACGAAAACAAAAGATTGTTGCAGGAGTCCACCCACTGCACCCCAACTGTTAATGGGTGTTCAGTCCTTTGAGACCAAACTATAGCTACTCTGAAGTAAAACCTCCCAAAATATGTAGAATGTTGTGGACACCAGGTCCTCACTCTACTCTTCCTGTGTCACTTACTAATCTTGATGTAGTTTCTGTGCTCTGACTTTGGTCTTTGGCAGAATGAGATGTTAGTTCAACCTTTTTAATGTAGCTGCATTTTAAATTCAAGTCAAAATTACCTAAAGCCTAAGATTTGCATGTATATGCAAATTCTACGTAGAATATAAAGAATATATTTTTTGAGGAAAAAAATGTAAAGGCTGTGACTCCAAGAAACCATTAAATTCTGCTGAAATCAGTAACCTTCAGTGTTTTGACTGGAGGCTACACTAGTTTCTAGTTTATTGTCTTAGGGTTTGGTGGTCTTTTTTTGGAAATAGCATTTTTCTTGGATTGGAAAAAACAAGATGCCTATGTCCTGTATATATTGCACACTCTGAAAATGGACTTACTGAAAGTGTTTACGGAGCAATATCTTGAGCCGTTTCCTGTACTAAATGTTCTTCTAACTGAAATAACAAAAACCCACTAAATAGTTCAAACAGAGCAACTAGCTTTTTTCAGTCTCTAAGCTACTTAATGAAACAGGATATACATGTGTTTTAATGGAGGTGCCCATTTCCTGAGTGGATATGTTAAGAGGAACAACATAATGAAACACAACGCGTAAGTAAAATCAGAAAAAAATGCATCTTACTGCACCTCTTATTTCCAGCTACCAAAATGTGAGGAGTTGATGAATTACAACTGTAAAAGTATGAGGCAAACTCATGTTTAAATAGGAAACAAAAATTTATTCGGATTATTGAAATACCTGAAACTGTCATCAGTCTTTCCATGCCAAAAGACGTTTTACTCATTTATGTATTCATGCTATGCTTCCATCTCGTTAAGGTGTGTTCTGTGGCTTAAAAAGTAATATTTCTTGTTTATAGGAGAAGCAATATCAATTTTCACACCAATATCAAATTCCCCAGCAATCAGATCAATGTCATGTTATCCAGCCCTGCCAGCAGTCTGAACAGTCCCAGGTCACTCATCAGTGCCAACAAACACAGACTGGTAGCCCTTGTGAAATAATCCCAGTCTCTGTGAGCGATGACTGCAGAGGAAATACAGTGAGGAGGGTAACAGTTCAGACATGTGAACCGGTAAGAATCACTTGCTGAATGCTTTACTATTCACCTGTATTTTTGTTTTTTTTATGGAAAGCACAAAACTTTACAGGTGGATAAAATTATTCATCCCTGACCACAACAGTTTTGCTTAAAATCATAGCAAGGTAATTAAGTACCCACTGTAAGTAAACAGCAAAGTTTGTGCATCTGTTGCAAGTAACTTCTTTGCATGCAGAGACTCTAAATGCCGTCTAGAACTGCCTAAGTTTTGCCTAGGAAGGGTACTATGATGTTGTCTAATCAGGCTTATAGATTTCAGAGGACTCAGATGGACATGATTCTTAGCTTAAAACAAAGAACTTAACATGGTTTTGTTTCTTTTGATCATATAGCTTACTGTAAGATAAGAGCAAAATATATAAAATTCATGTCTAATACACAGACACTTGTTAGATAGGTAATTTTTTAAATCCAGATATGAAATAGGTGTATTTTCTGAGGAGCCTTTTCCTGTGAACCTTTGCATCTTTGCAGGCGTAGAGGCGGAGTAAAATGATGTGAACTTTACGCTTACAGCTTTTGAGCCATTTAATTTTTGAACTTGATTTTAAAGTTTGTGCCTTTCAAACCCTAGGAATGAACAATAAAAGAATTATGCCTTTAGTTCTGGAAAAAGTTACAATTACCGTATAAGCTGGACAGGCATAAAATTCAGAATTGCTCTCTATCTAAACTGATCAATGAGGATTTGAAATATATTGCAATTTGATGTAGGTGTATTTGACATAGATTCACTGGAAGTACAAAACTAGCTTCTTTCACTCTTCATTTTACCCGTTCATTAGCTTCTTCCAGTGGGTTCCACCTTCTGAAGTTTCTAAGGGTTGCCAGAGGCTCACTACACGTGCATACTACTATTTTTTGTCAGGGGGAAGGGGAAATGTAGTAGTCCCTTTCTGTGCGTCTATTCATTATACAGATGGCAAGACAAGCATACTTTAGTGACGTTAGCGTTAGACCTGTGTGGTATTTCCCATAGCCAAACACTACAGTAAACTAACTCAGGTAAACTCAGTTTGGGCTAGTTTAAATTCTTTCATTGTTTGCATACATAAACATTTTAACTTAAATTGGAGGTGCTTTAAGGTCTTGTTGGACTTGTAAATCAGTGCCTTTCTGTAAACGCTTCTGAAATTGACCCTGGGAAGGAATCCAGGAACTTCTCAACTCAGCCATCGGATATACTCCAATGCATGAATGTAAGCAAAAGCAGTGAGAATACAAATACAATTTTTGCAGTGGGGAATCTTGCACCTACTTGAGGTGCATCTGGGTGCTGTTCATAGGGGTTATCCACTATAGGTGTGGAAGCGTGTATATTAATGAAAGATTTGCCAATTCTTCACATTTTCTATGTTAGAGTAATGATGATGTCACTGCTGTAGGAGGAGATACTCCTTGGCCTATTCTTGTTGCTGTAAAATAAGTCATTTATGTATTGAAAAACAGAAGACGTGGAAGATGCAAAACCTAGGAAAAGAGTAGTGTAAATAAATTGCAAATTAATAACAGCAAACAAATCCATCATGATCGTAGCGTTCAGCTTTCATCCTGAAGAAGGGAACTCAACTATGGTGTTCTTGTGTGCGTGTCTTGTGCATCTTCTGTTAGGTGAGTTGCCCTCAGGAAAATAATGACCAGCTGGACTGCCGCTACTTTGGTGAGCTGCTTGCTGAACTGAACCGCAAGACCAATGACTTGTACAGTTGTTTACTACAGCATGTGGAAAAGATAGGAGGAAGGTATTGTCGTTATATCTGTTCTATCATTTTGGTATTCCACAAATCCTAGGAATGCGCAGTTGAGAGCTCAATACTGTTTGTAAGTTGATTTTTTCGGAGAAATAGAATTGGAAGTGTATTTTACAGTAATATAACTTACTGAGTACCTGCGGATATAAAGCAAGGCTGTAGGCCAAATAAATTAACTGAATTCAGTGCTCTTTCAAATTGTGTAGACTAATACGCAATAAAAATTATTTATTCCCTGGCTATTAAAATAGTAGATAGAACAAACTTAAATATGCTTAGAGCATACTGTTAAGATATATTTAATGATGCAATCCTATTACTAGTCCTGAAGAATGAAACAACTGTTACATCATGGATTAAAAGATGGTCATGGTATATAGCATGATGTGCACTATCTACAGGCAAATTAATGTCAAGTATGTCTTCTGCAGGGGCCTATAGATTATTTGATTTTGAAAAGAAATGCACTCTCAAAAGTTAGTAATCTCTGAGTCTTTACAGGTCTTCTTACCCTTCTCTCACAATTACCGTTATTTCATTCCTTTCCCCACCTCTCACCTGCTCTCGTTTGGTGGTACTCCATTGAAATAAGCAAAAGGGGTCTGAAAAAGAAATTGGCATAGCATGTAAAAAGAGGAATTTAAACATCAAGAAGAATCCTGACACTCCTAAACAGTTCAGGCGTGTCAATGTATTGCAGCGCTGTTTTGGGCAAAGCCGTTACCCAAGCCAGTTCTGAATGTAACTGGGTTGACCTAACATAATTGGGATAACTGCCCAACGAAATAGAGGTAGTCTAAGGGAAGCACTGTGCTAACTACACTTCTGTTAGTATTCCAGTCTACTCAGATATCTCCGTATGGACTACTGTTTAACAACTCATATTTACCTGTCACCTTAAAAGGAGTATAAAGAGCTCTGTTAGTACCTTAAAAGATGGTCTTTTTATGGTTGTGAATGTGGTCACAATTTCCCAGTTACCAAGAAGCGTTCTGTTAATTGGTCCCTTGGATTTTGTCTTATAGGAACCATGACATTGAACTTACCAGTCAGGTAAGCAGCAGGCATGCTCTTACAAGCTGTTTTCTAACATTTCGTGTTAGTAAGAATTGTGTGGATCTTCAGTTTTGAAGCAAATTAAGTCCAGTCCAGTGGAACTGAAGGATGTGGTCCAGTCTGTTTAGTATAAAGATGACAGTCTGTGTTAGTTAATGATTCCTGATTGCTAATAACGTTAAGATTCTGAAACCGACTGATAGGCGTATATTTGCAACAACAAGTGAACTTTAATATAATTTGCATTATTCCAATACCTTATCAGAGTACAATTTTGAAAGTCTTTCCTCTTGTGCCAATTATGGTTTCATTGTAAAACGGACTTGCAGAGCTACAAATGTATACAGTATGCATTTCTTGTAAAGGATCTTTCACTCTCTTGCCAATAGAGAAGCTGTTTAGCAACATGTACTGCTATGCATTAGAAGTGGCGAATATTGCCTCTCACAGAAAGAAGAACTTAAGTTGAGAAAGCAGACTTGCTACGTTTACCAAAAGCTCCAGCTATGCTGGATTCATTTTTGAGAATCTGGCAGTACCGTGTCATTGTAACATCACATCCCCATATCATATCATCAACACATTTATTATTTTTAAAGGCATCATGTGTATGACAGAAATATTTGCTCAGGATTAAATGACATGATGCAATGCCAGTTAATCACTGGCAGTATCTCTTGTGGCACGTTGGTCACGGTTTGTTTACTGACAGCGTGTTACTTAGAAACGTGAGATGTGATTGTATCACAGACTCCTTGGAGTTCTGTTTTAGTGTTAACTGCTGTTTCTGAGAGAGGATCGTTTCGAACACTGCTTTTACAATAAAAGTTAAACTTAATGATTCAAATATCCATCTAATGAAAATATACTTGACGTTATCACTTCATCTGTTTTTTAATGCCACACATATATAGGATTGCACGTCTTCTGGATACACTTTGATCTATTTTCATTGTATTTTGCCTAGTACTAAATGTCTTTCTCACAGTAAAGAGATGTAGTTAAGGAAAAGACATTATGATCTACCAGGCAACATTCTTAATGAAGATGTCAAAGGCAAATAATCTTAGATTGAAGATGTTGAAGATTTAATTCCCAAAGGACTGTCTGAGGCAACAAAGCAGCAGATTCGTTATCTCCTCCAGGTATGTGAATGGGGTGGAGGGTATGTATGGAAATGAACAGTAACGTGGAACAGTAGAAGCTGGCTTACACATACTAAGGAATGTGTCCATAACATGCTTTACTCCATATTCTACTTATTCCGTTTATTCTAATGCAGCATGTCTGAAATCATACAGATGGCTTCAAGTGACATGTTGTGGCAGCTGCTTCCAAAGATTGTGTATTTTAAACAGAGCTTTATTGCAGCTTTCTTGCAGTTTCACTGGAAACAATCTTGACTGTTAACAAATAATTAGATGAAAATGCTGGTCTTTCTGTTTTTATTTTGTGCTTTATATTAAGACTTTACTTTAAAAGTTAAAGGTGAACAGCAGGCGTTTTATTGAATGTTAAATTGGCTATCAGTTACCTACTGCATCTGGTGTTTATAATCTATGTCTCATCTTCCACAAATATTCTGGTTAAGCATGTATAACATGTTGCTCATGTCTGTGCATGCTTATGACATTCAGTAACAAAACTCAACCATTTCTGTTTTGATTCCATTTATAAATGGATTTTGTTTTTCTCCTCGTCTCATTCTTTAGCTACCTAGCCATCGCAACCTATTTTTTTTATTCAACGCAACAGCCACATAGACGTGGCTGAAAGGTAATTGGGCAAGAATGCAAGGTTCTGATAATGGCGGTTCGTTATAATACTCTTTGTCGTTTGTTTTTTAGAATAATACTGACCTACGTGAAGTGTTCTAAGGTAGCTGTTTGCAGTTGGCACTCACCTTTGATAATCCATTAAAAAAACAGCGCTGTAGCATGAATGCCAGCGTTGACTCGAGAACAGTGTACCATTTGAGATTTAGGTATGTTAGAAGAGGATCTAAAACAACCTGCACTGCTTAGGCAGATGTGTCTAAATCTTATCTCCCTGGGCTAGATCCTACCTGAGTGCTACAGCGCAGAATCGCTTCCTGGGGATAGGTTGAAATTTATGTGAACAAAGCCCTGAGCTGACTGGTCTGACCTCACAGCTAAGCCTGCTTTACACAAGAGGTCAGACAAGATGACCTCCTGAGGTCCCTTTCAACCTGAAGTATTCTGTGGTTCTTTTAGGATAGACAAGGACACTGACCAAATTATTTTAGGACCTCAAGTTAGAACACTGTCCCAGAGAAGCAGGTTCAGTTGACCTCTATGTGGAAGAGTTGAATCCTGTATTTCCTGTTTTCTAACACGTACCTGGTTTTATAGTCTCACACCTATGTTTTTAAAAAAAAAAAAAAAAAGGCAGATAAACTTCTTTTGTGGAGCCAGATTCTGTCAGCATACATATGAAGTGTGCTCTCAGACAGACCACAGCTACTGCAGGTGTCTTGAAGAGATCGTTTTGTGGGGTATGTTGTTAAATCTGAGGAGGATTTTGAGCTAGCTGTCAAGCCCTTCAGACAAAGAGGGTTCTGGGTTGGCACGGACACTCAAGTCTAAGAGCATGGAGATTTTCACTGTGAAAGTACACGACACAGAATTCAGCCATCTCTAGAACTAAGCAGTTGCTGAGTGGGGACTTACATTTTTACGTTCTAAATTTAACCATTCTGACTTGATTCCTTCTTTTAATCCAGCCCCAATAGCATATTTCACAACAAAGACAACAAAACTATAAGTAAGTCAAAACTCTCATTCCACTTTAATTCGAATAAAACAGGCAAGTTACACTAGAAACGTCGTTTGAACCCTCCATCTCATAATAGCACCACTAGGGCTAACAGATGTAACACGGGTTAATCACCGTATTGAAAGAGATCTTAATAGCTTTCTTCCATTTGAGGGATCAAGACATTTCTTGCATGATGTTAAGAGAAGTACTGGAGGAAGAGAAACAGGGCAAGGATTTCGTTTTGATCTAGATATTAAAAAATAAATCTCTTGCATAGGATGTTCAGCCTCTCTAGATTAGTCAAAAGTTTGAGAATTACTGTGTGTGGTTTTTTTCCCCTCTCAAATATTAGAAGAGAAATTTATCATGAAATGCAACAGTTAGTTTGTGTTCTAGCATGAGTTAGTACACAGCTTTTTACAGTGTATTAACAGAAAAAAGGAAAGAGGGTTAGTCTACTGTGCATTATCGCTTTTCTTTTTCATGTAGGTAATTCCTTTAATCATTGGGAACTTTTTCCCTTGAAAGGAAAAAGGCCTTTT